TTCATAATCAATTCAGCTTGATAACTTTATCAGTTCCAAAATAGTGACATACTGTCCAAATAGTGATACTTTCTGCACGTATCAGTGATACACCCATACAGCTGGATCAGGATGTCTCCCCGAGGACCAAAATTACATCACTATTTAGACACAGTCTCACACATTTCTCGGAGAGTACAATTCCTGGGCACAGCGTATTCGTGTCGATTTGGTAACATGAATTTGATGTGCAGGTATAGGCAAGATAATTGCCATTTTCTAGAAGATTTTGTATCTGTTTTTGCAAATTTCTCGCGTTATTTCTCAGACGTTACGACCCTTTTCGGTGAAATTGTATATGAGAACATTCGTACAAAGAATATTTTATTAATTATCTGCTCTTTCAATGTCTTGCATTGTAGCATTGCTTCAAAATATAAAACAACTAAACGCCAGTTCCGATATAAGAAATTTGAGACTATAAACATCCAAGCTTGAACTACTATAATAGGGAGCGCAGCCCTACACCACAAATTTAGCTCGTAAACAAGCCCTGGCGCCAACGCCTACCCTATAATGCAATAACTAAACTCAGCTCACACCCAAGAAGCTGTAGGTGACTGAGTCATCTCCCCACACCAACTTTAAGCAACACCTACCTCACTCCACAGCCTGCTGAATCAAATAGTCAATTGTCAACAGGTCCTACTCCACAAAATTGTACTCCATACTATCACTTCTTACACACGCCGTAAGCCTTACTGGCCGCAGACCACGCCGGATCACCGTAAACCTGCTTAGCTATTTGCAGGACTGGCGTAATCCCGCCGCACTCCACGGGCAGAAGCGCAAACCGCCGTCCCTATAACGCAATGCCCCGGCTCTCCCCCTTCGCAGCCATAAGGCTTTCTTCAATTGCTGATCAGTTGTGCGCCAGGTTAGGTTAGGTTAGGTCCCTCCATCGCGCCAGGCGCATTACTGATCGGGCAACGAGAAAAGCTTTCTACTTGCTGCGAAGGGGGAGAGCCGGGGCATGGCGTTATAGGGACGGCGGTTTGCGCTTTTGCCTGTGGAGTAGAGCGCCATGAAGCAGTGGCTGTGACGTATAGGCGCTGTTATGTCGGGCGTTTATTTTCAAAAGCCGCGAATACGGCTGGCTGTGTTTAACACAAGCACGCAACAGTTTGGCTATTTTCCCACGACTGTTGCTTCGGTGGCTTGATGTTATCTGGCTGATTGATTCATATCCAGGAAAGTAAATGACACTTATGGCTTTAGGCACTTAATCACACAGGCTAATATGCCCTCTAGCGTGATTACGAGCGGAAAGTAATAGATATTGAATTGTGGGCAAGGGCTATGTAGGGGTCTATACTGCGTCCCGCCTCATCTACGGCCACGCTACCTCATCCACGGCCACGCTGCTTCATCCACGGCCACGCTGCCTCATCTACGGCCACGCTGCCTCATCTACGGCCACGCTGTTTCATCCACGGCCAAGCTGCTTCATCCACGGCCACGCTGCTTCATCCACGGCCACGCTGCCTCATCTACGGCCACAC